ATAAGAATGAGCTAATCGTGTTTTAATTCAAAACTGTACACTCACAAGAAAATCTTTGGCAAATCAAAAGGCTCTCAGTCGTTCTAGAACAGAAAACTAAAAATATTGTATGACCGTCCTCCTAAAATTATTTGGATCTCCAAGATAGTACAAAATATTGAACAGGTTATGTCTGTTTGCATATCATAAACTATAACATGCTTTGGTTTTGGCTTAGTGCACTGGTTTCTAAACCCTGGTTTATGCATTAGCATGCTGTGGTGTAAACACACCAAATTGTGGTTTATTCAATACATTGGTTGAACAAACCAAAGTTTAGTATATTGTATGAGTCCATTTTGTATTTGCATAGATGTCAGATCTATGGGATTGACTTTGTTCTCCACCAGAAAACAAAGGCCTATTTAGCAGTGTCCAGTAGAAAGTAGAGACAAGGCCAGATCTGGCTCAAATGTAAAATAACCAGTAATGCAAAATATTCAGACAGGCAATGTTCTCCAACTTCTGCCAAATACTTAATCACATTTCTGGAAAGGAAATAACTAGCATGCCCAGCAAACAAGCTAATATATATTATATACTGTTGTGTTTCTTTAGGAAAATGAAATTAAAATATTCATATTGCTGAAATTCACTGCAGATTTAGTTTAAAACGTATCCTTTTTTATCACATGGATTTTAAATATTTTTCCAACTGTCTTGGAAATTCAACAAGCTGATCGGTTATTTTAGAAGCTTTTGTGCCTTAATTGGATTTGCCACACATTCTCTCAAGCCTGTCTACCTCATAGACTATGAGGAAAAATAGGTGTGTGCAACATGGATTGCCTTGAGTTCCTGAATGAGAAGCAAGATATATCAAATAAACATATAAAGAGGAACTTCAGCATCAAGAGGCATAATTAATGGAAAGTCAGTCACAGCAGAGGACTGTGTTTCCTGGCAAATTCAATGTCAATGACCAGTGTATTTACTGCAAACTGTCTAGCAAATCCATCAGAATATCTTACACTATCTTTAGATCATCCCAAGTATTCATCACACAAGAATATATTGCTACCTGGAAGGTTTAAAATCAAAGTGAGAAAAATATCCAGCCTAGAGAAAAGAAGGAAATGCTAAATGGTAAGTAGAAGAGTGAGCCAGTTAACCAGACAAGAGTTAGTGGCCAAGAAAAGCTTGTACGGGAGAAACTCTAAAGAGAAGTTGACCATCATGGCCATCAGAGCAGAGCTTCCAGGCAGAGCCCTGGAGCCGCTCCCTGCATACCAAGCGAGAGAGATCCCAACTGCTGCAAACTGGTTACCTTTCATGGACCTTAAGATACCCTGATGTGTGCACTATATGGGGTGCGTACACATGGTGAAATGAGATGGTCAATTAAAGGATGATAAATGCCTGCTCATCCCTTTATTTCACAGTTTCTGCATTTTTCTAGCATTTGTTAGGGCTCTTCATGTTTTGAAAATTATTTCAAAGAAGGGCTTTGGATCTTGTGTGAACGCAGCACCTCTCTGCTGCCTGTTAAACAATGCATACCTTTTCAGACTTCTGGGCAAGGACGCTTTTAGAGCTGTCTCCAGCAGATTATGTTAATGATTCAATTCATGAAAACAGTGGCATCTTTTTCTGGGTGTTGCAGAAGCATGATCAAAAACAAGCATGCCCACCAGAACTGTCCTGCATTCCTGTAAGATCCAAAATACTTGTTCTGAATTATGTGTATTCGGCTATACAGTCCCCAGGTTAAGAATGAGTTCCATTCCTAAGCCTGTCTTTAACTCGAATTTGTATGTATAGTAAGTCGGAACTTGTACTTACGAATGGGCTGCCTTTTACTAAAAATGGCGGATGGTGTTCTCCTTCCTTGAGCCGACAAACTGCTGAAGCCGTGCAATGTTTTCATGAACCACTGAAGCCATGCGTTTTTAATATACAGCCTGTTTTCAGCGGTTGATGAAAACATCACATGGCTTCAGCGGTTTGTCAGCTTGAGGAAGCAGAACACCATCTGCCATTTTTAGTGACAGGCAGCCCATTCGTAAGTATGAGTTATCCATAAGTTGGATGTTCTTAACCTGGGAGCTGCTTGTATTGTTTGAATAAAAGTGCTTAAAATGGTAGATGTGTGCAAAATCCCACAATTCTCATTACTAGTTATCAAATACTCTGCCATTTTCAATCTCCAGTGTATTATTTACTATTCCAACTCTTGCTTTTCCAACTCTTCTGATGTCAGATCAGTTGTACCCCAAAGTGAAGCTAGCTTCTGTTTCCTATTTATAACAATAAAATACAATAAAATTGCTTAACATTAATTATCTGCCAGTAGCTATCTGACTTTAAAAACAAGACAATGCAAAACTATGAGCTATCACGGTTCACAGATGTGGCATTTTTCTCTCACCATAAATACAGATTAAATAGATATAGTTATCTCCATTTCTGTAGTTAATATTTTTTTAAAAAATTAGCTTAAAAATATAACAAATTTTCAGATCATATAGCTGAGCTGATATCAGAAGTTCATTCATAAAGTTTGGCAATCTTTATTCAAAAAGCAATAAAAATCAATAGTTAGGCTCAATCTCCACTAAAATGAGCAGGTAAGTGGTGACCAAGTTCTGGATCGAGGCTGCCTTCACCTGTCATTTCAAGAAGCAGTTTTCATGTCCCATTAAGGCCACCAACATTTTCAAAGTTGGGTAGAGGGAGCAAAAGAGGAACTTGACTTTTGGCTTTATTCACAGCTAAGTCATCTATATACAAGATTCTCTTGTGCAATTTGGTGCAGGCTAGAGAAGCATCAGCCAGAAATGGTCTCCGTTCTAAAAAAAACAGTTATAAAAATACACAGACAGAAGAGACAAAAGCAGAGGGAACAAATATTAAAAATCCAGATTGCAAAAAGAATAAAATTGAAGTCCAGACTGATCCAGGATCCATTACTTCCAGCACTTCCTTTCTTCTTGTCTTATTCAGAATCCCGTGTAGAAACATTACATTCCCACCAGCACGAGCCAAGAATTGAAAGGGACCCCTAATCATTCAATTCAACGTGGACATCATTAAAATGCGACACTAGCTGTACTTGTATGGGTGGCTCTGCCTGCTCAGAACCCAAGGGACCACCAGAGCTGCTTCTAGTATATTGGGAAACACCTTTGCCAAGTCCAGCATGAGCAAGACATCACTCAGGTGGAAATGGCACAACAGAACTAGAGCGATTCTTGAAAAAATATAACTGTTGACAGTTTCATGGCTGATCCTGTGTCTGTTTTGGAGATGGGGCCGCTGTCACAACTACAGTGGATACCGCTTTTGTAGAGCCAGACACTGTTCCCTGCTGGAGGTGGGAGGCTGGGACTGTCTGAATCCGCACCTGTCCAAAACAGAGCAATGAGATTAGAAATCCACCACCGCCACCGCAGAAAATATCAGTACCGCTCGGAAACTCTCATTAAACAAAATTTCTTACTGAAAGCTTGCCTCCCCCCACCCCCAAAATCCTCAGCCATCTCGGAAGCACTTTCTAAATGCACAAATAAAGGACACAAAAAAGTAACTGCAATTATCGGGTGATTATGGCATTTCAAAGCCAAGCCGTGATGACAAAGGAGAGTGAAGGGGGGCCCTTACCTGGGCAGCCTGGCCTTGCTGCTGCAGCTGCTGCAATTGCTGGGCAGTCAGGAAGCTCACTGGCTTGTTCCCGGCAATCAGTTTTGTTCCAGCTGGCATTGTGGTGAGGATGATATTTCGCCCCAACCCGCTAATGCTGTGGAAAGAAAGCCATCCAGAAGTCAGGGATGTACTGGGGGCAGGGGGAAACAGACTCTTTTTGCACTAGGCTGGCCTTTTCACATTGGTTACTGCAGCCTCCAGGTTCCCAATATCTTACATGAATGCCGGGAAGCATTCAATTTAACGCTGAGGTCTCCAAAGTTTTATTTAGCGAAAGCTGTTGTTTTGCCAAATTAGCAGCCTCTCCTTTAAAGGAAGAAGCTGCTGTTCATCTGCTTCAGGAAGAAACATCGCTGCCACCCTAGTAGGCCCTCTACCGAAAACCCTGTGTGTTCAAGATCTCAAACAGCTGAATTCTGCACGTTTCACTACAAAGGGTTTGGGGAAATGCAGTTGCCACGTGGCCGAGGGGATGGGCAGGAAATCCCCCTGTACTTTAAAGAGCAGCCAGACTTATGAAAAAATAATCACTAGTTAATTTTTCACTCTGGAAATTGTTATGTTCTAACTAGCTATGGATTACAGTTCAATAGCTACAGGAGCAGGTGTGAAGTTAACAATTTTAAAGGGAAAACAGGGATAGTCAAATAACGTTAAGAATGCCAGGACATTATGGATCATTCACTATCACCCAGGGGACTTAAAAAAACAACACCAAACTGAACAGTACTTAACACATTCAACAGGCAGAGGTTTTGCTCTACAAAGTTTTCAGTGGCTAAAGGAATTAGCATATTTCAGTACTTTCAATCCTTCTTTTATTGGATTTCCAGTGGCCTAATGACAGGCCATAGAAATTTGTTACTGAAGATTCCCAATTTCTCCTACATTACTCACTTGGCCCCAAGGTTGCCCTTGATGATGGGAGCAGTCACCACGTTCTTGCCTTTCACAGGCTGGCTTATGACCGAGAGGGGCACGGTGATTCGGGCAGGCAGCTTCCCCTAGGCAAAAAAGTAAATAATATGCAGAAATTATTTGTACCATTCCATCGGCCCTATAAATATCCAAAGGAAAGCGATACTCCTTCCCCCTGCAACCCTCCTCTCCCCCAAACTTCTCCTTTCTGCAGAAACAGACCATCACAATACATATAACCCCTGCACACAGCACTTGTAACAATTCCTAATGGCAGAAGAAAAACAGAAGAATAACAAAACAGAGAATTATCTACAACGCTGAGATTTTCCCATCTCGCGTAGTCTCTGGAGAATCTACATTACTTACCGGCTGGGAGGTGGATACCACAGTGGTGCTCACAGGGACCTGTCGCACAGTGGAGGTTCCTGTTCCTATAGTTATGGGTGTTCCTGCCGCTCCTGACACTACAGCGACTGCCTTGGAGACAGAAGCTGTCATGGTCGGCAGAGAAACAGCTGAGGTATGGACAGGGCCAGACACGCTCACAGAAGAAGGCGGCATCTGTTTGGCATGAGTGGCAACTGTAATTGTCTGGCCAGGTTTGGGAGGCATCACCCCCATCCCCTGCACAATCCTTATGGTGGCCGCTGGCTTGGCTTCTGAGGATGCCATTGTGGTCATGGCTTTGCCCTTCTGCTCTGCCATGGACATGCCTAGAGCAGGCATAAGTCTGAAGGCTGAACTGGCAGACTCCACTGTTTTCAAGTCCGGTGTCACTTTGACCACGGTTGGTCCAGCAGAACTTGGCGAAGCAGAGGTAGGTGTGCTGGTCTTGGCAGGAGAGTCCGAGGACTGGATGGGGCTTGACGTCACACGCAAGGTGGCACAGATGCCCTTCCCTGCAGTAGTGCTCCCAGCGGCAGTAGCAGTGCTGAAGAGGTCTTGAGTCAGTTTGACAGTGGTGACCTGCGATTTGGCCAAGGTAGCCATCATGTCTGGGGTGATGCGGAGAACCGTCTGCCCCTTGGCATCTGTGGTGATAGAGGACGGAGGCAAACGCAGAACATCCTTGCCTTGAATACGGAAGTTGGATGTTGTAAGTGGGAGGCTGCTCCCAGCCTGGCTTTTCATGCCCAGCTGTCCAGTAATAGCCACCTGCAAGGCAAAATAGACACTGATCTGAACTTCTGTTTAAGAAACACCAATTAATGCTGGTCGCGTTGTGTCTAGCCACACCAAGTAAGCGAGGCAGGTAGGTCAAACTGGTCATAAGAGTTGATAAGGAAAGTGAAAGTGTCTTTCAGTGATTAGAGCCTTTGCTCAGAGGTCTTTAAAAAAAAAACTGACAAATTAATAGGCAACAGGCCCACCACTCCAGCCTCTGTAGCCTCCTGATGTTTGTCCTGATGTTTATTTCCTACAGTTTATAATGCAGCTGTCAGAAGCCTGAATTTCCTCTTCCATTCTATCATCTCCCTCCTTCTGAGCTGTGTCTATTGGAAGGGCATGGAGTTATATACTGTATTTTATCTGCTTAGCATTTGAATGAATTTAAGAACTTAATAAATCAGGCATGGCTGGCGAGTTTCCCAGGGGTCCATGTGAGCAGTAAATTACCTGCAGTAATTTCTTAGCAGACTGCAGATCCTCACCTGTTTGATGATATTTTGGCCAGCAACATTCTGGAGGACAGCGGTGGATGAAGAGGAAGAGGATAAAGAGGAGGAGGAGGAGGAGGACAAAGAAGTAGTGGAAGGATTGGGTGCTGCACTGTTTGGAGAACTACTTGCTGGCTTGGGGGCAGGAGTAGGTGTTGCAGAAATTCCTGTCCCAGGGACACCAGCTGTTCCAGTTACAGCAACAGTTGTCCTCTGCACTTGGACTGGGCCGGTCTGAGCTTTCACTGGAAGCGTCACAACAGCCTGATGGGGAGAAAAAATCATCATCGCAACGACTGCACAGTATCTCAATGTCATTCCATTCTGTTTTAGGCTGCCTCGTATGACCAAAAATTTCAAGGTAGCCATCACTCACTATCCAAAATCACTCATGGGAATTCACATCTAGGCATTTTTGTCAGGACCCCTTTCCAGTCCAATGATATTTCATGTGCACTTGGAATAATTCTCCTGTTTCGTGATTTACCTACTTGAAGAAACAAATAGCACATCTAAGAGATGACTCAAGTCCATGACTCACTTCCATCCATTTTTTCCCTCCAATTCAGTTAATTCAACTGAATTCAGACAGAGATGCCTACACCTACGCATACTCAGTATTCTTTTTAGCACTGCAGAAGATGCAGCACAGAAAAGTCAAATGGCCCACATTCTACAAAGGAAGTTCCTAACAGCAGAAATCTCCTTTTGGAAATCTATTTGCTAGTAACAACATTCAAAGGTAGCTGGTTCAGAGGCTGAAGCTCTCCTTTCTCTACAACTCCCCCATGGATGATCCAGACATTCAAAAAACACAAGATTTAAGAACAAGTCCCAGTTCTCTAACAAAGGGAGTGGAAAGAGAAATCTATCCATGAAAAACATAGGTTAAAAAAAGGCTAAAAATGAGATGGGATTCCTTCCAACAGAAGCTAAGAACCCTCCAAATCCTGTCTCCAGAGTACTTGCTAGTCCTAGAGCATTTTGCTCTTCCAAGCAAGACATCCACAAAAAAAATCATAAAAATGGAAGACTTTATGGTGTTAGTAGTTATTTAGGGACCTAGGTATTTAAACAGGGAACAGCTACACTGGTTCCTGTTTTCTGCTGGCACAAATAAAGGGGTGAATAATTTATTCAGATACCTTAGTTTCAATACATTGAATTATGCTGTGTACAACTCTTACTCAAAGATGTGAAATTACAGAGCTGACTCTACATTCAGTATTGGTGGAGAGATTGCTTGGGAGGAAGATTACTAACACCCGCCCCCATTCACACGTGTTACTCACCTGAGAGAAGACTTTGCTTTGCGCAGAAGTGGAAGGAACCCGGATCTGAGGTACAGACGCTAGAGATGGCTGCTGTTGTGCTACTGCTGGGGCTGGCTGAGATGGAGCGGGGAGGGTAGACTGAGCGGTAACCACTCGGACCTGTGGGAGGCCTGAGGAAGTGGTGTGGCTAGCTGTCCGCGGGGTGGGCAGCTGAGATCCAGGCTGTGCCTGCGTGTTCTGCGGGGTGGAGAGCAACGTCCCAAGCTGTGGCATGGTGGGAGAAGATACTAAAAGGATGCTATGCAACAATGAAACAGAACAAACAAACAAACAAAAAAATCCTGATGAATATACAAAAAATAGAACCTTTCTGCTAGAACACTCTTTCAATCAACAGAGTTCCAACTGGATCAAGTGTTTAAAACAGGGTGACATAATGCAGGTCATTCTTTTCTCAGAAAAACAGTAGTTCAATGAACAAATACTTTACCATCTGAAAGACTACTTGAAGACATTTCCCCAAATTACTTGGAAAGCCTGCCAATGTTTCTGTATTCCTCAAACCAACCAGACCACTTGAATCAACAATGTTTTCCGAACAGTCCCTATTCTTGTGCCGCCTGCTAAGCTAGGGAGGAATCCCCTGTGGAAGGCTATAACTTAGAAATCTGGCACAATTGGCCATACTTTCCCCCCTTTTTGTAGATGTACATTGCTTAGCACCCTATTAATCTCCTGCCCCTGCCTTATCCTTATCCTACCCATAGATATTTCCAACCCACTCCTACTTTTTATTAAGATGAACAAAAGTGTTACCTTTGGTTGGATTTTGCTTGCTCGGTTGCAACACAAGACAAACTCTTGCTGACCACAGAGACAGGAGGGGGTGAAATAGGCATCGCTGGCAAAGGAAGTGCGGCAGGTGTCACTGGAGTTGCAGGGGTCGGTGGCATGCTGGAATCACTGACGCTCAGCTGGCTGGGCTCAGAGCTGCCAGGGGTCACCCCTTTCGCTGAACTCTCCTTGATGCTGGATTTCTGCAAGGTCAATGAAAGAGCTTATTTCCTTGGAAGACCCACTGCATTCACCCCTGGCAATCTGGACAAGTTCAGGAGAGGGACGAAAACATAACTTCTAAAAAAGGGCTGCATTTCAGTGACACAGCAAATGCTTGGGGTTCAGAACGCCCCTCTTGCAACCCCCGGCAACGTCAGATAGGACTGGGAAGACCAAGAAAGCTGCTACTAATCATTGCAGGCAGAACTCCACTAGATGGATCACTGAGCAGACTCAGTCTATATGAGCTGCCTACGCGCTCACTGGACAGTTTTAAGGAGGACAAAAAACAAGCAGCCATTCTCTGTGTGGTGAAAAGACAACAATTCCTGAAAGCATCACAACTTTCTATCCTTAGCCTATTGTATTGCCATATACAGAATGTTTTTCACTGGCTGTGTTTGCAACTTACCACATCATTCACAAGAGAAGTAAGATGCCGTAGTCCTGTTTGTGTCCCCGCCCACTCATACATGAGTGAACAAGCTATAGCTTCTATTTTTATTGCCCACCCCTTGTCCTATGTAGCTCAGGAGTAACTCAGAAAAGCTTGCTTTTACTTTTATTTATGTGTAGCTTCTTGGACCAGGAACTGAGGCTGACACTAATGATGATGGGAATGGTTTTTTTATGACCTCATCTATATGTCAAATCAAGTCTGCGAGGGAATGCAGATACATGGCTCTCCTTGGAATTCCCTTCTCCTAGAAACTCATCTTCCCGAACTTAGAATTGGTCCAACACATTTCATTTTAAGAATATGAACTACCTATTTGTAGCCAGGATTAGAACAGGATATGGTGGAAGAAACATCAACCCCTACGCAAGCCTTCAGAGCAGGGCAGTAAATGATCCCTCTGAAAATCTCTGCCCCAAAGGCTACACCGGGAAACTTACTGTCTTTGCAGGAGGCTTTGGTTTCTGCTGAAGAGCCTTCTTGGCCTTCGCTGCAGCTGCCTGGGCCTGATGAATCCGCTCTGGAAGGAAGAATCAGCAGCAGTTCTCAAACAGACGCTAACAGAGAGACATGCACACCTACACAGCCCTTGTGTGATTTCAAGAATTCCCACTCTGCCAAGTGAGATAATTTGCTAGCCTAGAACAAGCAAGTCATACATGAAAATTACTAATGTTCTAAAGGCACTTTATGACCTCTGAAAGCCTGTTCCTACAGGCAGCTTTTATGTCTTTAACTTTAAATTATGAATATGAGAAAGCAATGGCTATTCAGGGAGAACAAGAGGAAAATTATATGTTCTCTCTCAGTAATGGCAGAATTTATAATAAACAGGGCAAAACATGTTTTTACTAGTAGTTCAGGATTGAGGGAGGGAGGGAGG